TGATTCTGGAAGAGACAGAAGTTGAGGAAAAGAAGAAAAAAAAACCAGACAACAGCCGAGTCGCCGAGGGGAATCGAACCCCGGGCTGCGGGTTCACAATTTTCTTGGCGACATCACAGGAAGACCCGCGGTGTTCAGTACATCACACCCGAGTACCCACCCTCCTTCTTCCTCCGCTGAATGCTTGCGCAGGGACAGCGAGAAAAAGCGGTGTATGAAAACCGATGATTCGGGCGCGGAGTTGAACCCCGCTTGCGGGCTCCCAAGTGTCTTGTCCTGTTCATGAAGAAGAGCCGCGATGTCCATACACCCGAATACCTCCCCTGCTTATCCCTCTGTATAGGGAGTAGATTTGTGCATGGAAAGAGAAAGAAGAAGAAAAAGAGGGGACGAAAATGATTGGGATTCGGGTTTGATTCGGGCCCGGCGCGCGGGGAAGTCAAACACCAGTCTGCTGGCTAACATTTCGCCGAGGCGTCAGAAGAGCCGGCGGTGTTCCGTACACCACACCCGATTAATTAACTTGTTTATTGCTCTGTCAAGTTGGTGACATTTTTCGCAAGGACTCGACCCAGAAAAATAAAAAAGTAGGATTGCCGCCGATAATTCGGGTGCGGGGAGTCGAACCCTGATCTGCGCGCTACTTACTTCGTCCCGTGATAAGAAAGTGCACGGTGTTCCGTACACCACACCCGATTCCTTGCCTCTTTATCTGTCTCTCAAGTACGCAGATATGCTCAAGGCCTTGGTTAGGACAGACAATAGTGGATGAAAACGCAGTGAAACGGGATGGTATTCGGGGGCGGGGAGTCGAACCCTGTCTGCTTCTACCTTCTCTCATCAAGTAATGAAGCATTAATGAAGGCGCGCAGTGTCCCGTACACCACACCCGATTTCTGCCTCTCGTCCTCTCCTAAGTGGGTGAGAATATGTGCAAGGAGTTGATTGAGAAAGAAAAAGAAACGGATGAACAGAATTCGGGCGGGAGGAGTCGAACCTCGGTCTGCGCGCTACTGAAATTCTCGCATGTAAAACAAGCACGCGGTGTTCCATACACCACACCCGAGTATTCACGCCTTTTATCCCCCTCTAAAGTGGGTGAGATTTTGTGCAAGGAATTTGAAGCAAGCACGCGGTGTCCGTCACACCACACCCGAGTATTTAGGCTGTGCATTGCTCTTCCAACTGAGTATCATTTGGTCGAGAAAAGCGGAAATTATATTACACCACCGCCGCCGTATTTGAGCGCGGGGCGTCGAAGCCCGGTCTATGGATTGCCAATTTCCTTCAAGCGATGAAGGTGCGCAGTGTTCCGTACACCAGACCCGATTCCTTGCCCTCTTTATCTCTCTATTGAGTTTTTGCAATTTGCAAAATTAATGTCCTCCACCTGAAAAATGAAATAGAAGTTTTGATTTAACTTTTGAGTTGGGCACCAAGAGGTCGCAGGTTCGAGCCGCGATGCCGACGTCATTTTCCCATCAAAGTACAAACAAACAACGCGTCGCGTCGATGTTTTTCTCCACTGTTTCTGATTGGATTGTGTCGGATTTACACTAAAAATCAAGGTATTGACTGGGGCTTCACGATGAGATGGGCCTTCAACGTTGTCGGGTCATTAACGACTTGTGGTATGAATTCTTTGGGAATTTTCTTTATTGCCCCTAAAACTGGCGCCCGGCCGCCGTCCGGCGCGCAATTGAGCCTTGTTGCATTTAATTTCAAAATTTAAAGCTGTTGTGATTCAGCCATGCTGCTTGTATATCCGGGCAGTCAGTTGCTTTTGATGTTTAAAAAACTAGATTCGCCTATTGGAGGGATCCCAATTAGCACCGGACGAGATCAATTGGAGCACCATTGATTGTGATGGCATGCACGATTATAGGCGCTCATTGCTGCATACACAACTGAGCACTGCATCTACTGTCTATGAAATGGTTAGTACATGGTTTCAATCATCCAAGAATTTCAACATGCACGCTAGGAGGGACCTGTAAATGTTCAACTATTGTCCAGTCATCAAGCCCTGATCAATAGCTTAATTTTGATTATAAATTCTTCGCAATCCATGGAGGAATGAAGGAGAAAATGTCGACGCGACGCGTTGTTTGTCTATGATTGATGGTGAAAATGATGGCGGCAGGCCGGCTCGAACCCGCGCGCGGATGGCAGCTGAATTCAAAAACTTTTTTTTCTTTTTCGCGAGAGGACATTATTTTTGCAAATTGCAATAACTTATTTTGTGCAAGGACGTGAAAAAGAAAGCAAAAACCTTCAACAAGCAGTATCCGGGCGCGGGGAGTCGACGCCTGGTCTGCGCGCTACTTGGCTGCTAGCAATATAAAGGAGATGCACGATGTATCGTACACCACGCCCGAGTATCGACTCCCTTTCCCCCTCCGTATCGCTCCCAGATTTGCGCAAGGCTTTGAAAAAAAACATTGCATCTGCAATTGACTATTCGGGCGCGGGAAGTCGAAGGGCCTCGGTCTGCTACTTACACTTCTCTACATAAGGAAGCTCGTAGTGTTCCGTCCACCACACCAGAATAATTGTGATGTTTATCGCTTTGTCAAGTGAGGGACATTTTCCAGAAGTCTTGGTTGAGCAACAAAAAATTGCGGCAATGACTTGAAAAGAAAATGGTTGGGGTGTAGTCGAACATTCGGGCGCAGGTAGACCAGTGAATGATCTGTCTATGGAGGCCAGCCTGTCGATAGACGGACTGGTCGATCTGAGTTTGAATTTCCACAACGCGCGAGATACCCATTTAGCATATTTGTAAACAACTTCGGTCTGCACTTGGTCTGCATCTTGCTCGCTCGATTCATTTAAATCATAAAATTGGGAGCTTAAAAAGCTTTATGTGGGTCGCGCATCCTTATCCGAAGCCGAAAATTCACAATGATTGGCCCAAAAGAATGAATTTTGAATGTTGTTGTTAGGATTCGAACCCGTCCCGCCAAAATCTTGCTTACAAATACACGGCGGTGATCAAATACTTTTACCGTGGGAAAATGGGCCTAGAACTTGGGTATCCAATTACCGCGGGAAACTTTTACCCCAAGAAAAAGTAAAGTAAAATTAACTCCCGGATTTCTCCCCAAAAAAGGCGGACTTTTACTGCAGGCAAGTCGAGGGAAAAAGTTCAACTTTTTCCGTCAATTTTTCCGCCGGAAAAAGGCAGTTTTTCCCATGGGAAACATCCGAGCACGGTAAAAGTCAGACTTTTAGGTTAACCGATCACGTTGCTGGGTCCACATAACCGTTATGTGCCACAGCCACTGATGGCACATAACACGGGGACGCAATTCTCTGCTTATAACTACCCGTAATTCGTCAAAGTATTGCTGGCACCTCTTGGGGCATTAATGAATATTTCACGGGAGTCAGATGTGCTATATGGTGGATTTTGGCCACTGAGTAAGTATGCCGGCCGAATCCGCGTGATAGTCACATCAAGTAACATCAGTTGCACATAACCGTTATGTGCCATCTTCCATCGTGATGCTCGCTGTGGCCTTTCCTTGCAGCTGGTCAGCTCGGGAAAAAATCTAGCATTAACTACTCGCAGTTAGAGGCTATTCACTATCTTAAATCATTTTTTCCCTAGCAGAACCACATGGAACACGAAAATAAAAATGAACATGCCTTTTGCGCCAAAGGACCAACAAGGACGGACATTCGAGGGAAAAATGTCTTGAGAATCACACAAGCATGTTACTTGAACCACTGGTCAACTCCTTTGTGATATCCCCAAGTTTTGAGTGCGTAATTATATTATACCGGCGAGCCATTCCGTGGTTTCCCCTGGTATTTTTGCCTTTTTTCTTCACACTGTACCCTAGAGATTACAAAAATCCCGGTCAATGGTATCTACGGAGCCCATATTAATCCTGCGGGCCACTATCAGTGGTAGTTGAGCCAAAGTTGAGCACAGTTGTATGATTTAAATAACATCTTCTGCGAGGCATGGCAGTGCAAGGAGTATGCGGAGAAACTTGTTTTGAGGCTCTTTTGAGCCGTAGAAGGCTTCGTTGAAGCTCAGCTAAATCTCTCTCTTTTCTTCCTCTTTCGATTTCTTTTTCGTGTTTTTCCCCTTTCGGCGACCCAGTAAAATGGACGGAGAACCGACTTTTACCGCGGTTTTGGCGGTAGTTACCCGTGGTAAAAGTCTGCCTTTTCCTCTGCGGATCTTTCCCGTGGGAAAATATGGTCTTCTTCCGCGGCAAAAACTCACGCAAAAAGTTGAACTTTTCCCCTCAACTTATCCACGGTAAAAGTCTGACTTTTTCCCGGAGAAATATCGGTATTAATTTTACTTTATTTTTCCCCTAGGTAAAAGTTTCCCGCGGATACCCAAGCTCTAGACCGATTTTCCCGTGGTAAAATAGTTTGATCACCGCCGTGAAATAGGCCAAATGGAATTCAAACTCAGATCGACCAGTCTACCGACAGTTTACTTTTGGTACGACAGGCTGAATTCAAGTCTAGGGTGCAGGGAGTTGAACCCTGGTCTGCGCGCTACTTGCCTCGTCCCATGTTAAGAAAGTGCACGTTGTTCCGTACACCGCACCCGAGTGATGGCCTGTTTATCCCTCCGTCAAGTACACAGATTTTGAGCAGGACGTGCCTAAGAAAAAAGAAGGAGAGACTGGCTATTCGGGCGTGGGGAGTTGAACACCCCGGTCTGCGCCCTCCATCCTTCTCAACGTGGAAAGAAAGCGCTACACCACACCTGAGTAATTGGCCTGTTTATCCCTCCGTCAAGTACACAGATTTTCTTAAGGATTTAGTCAGGAAAAAAGTGGGGATATACAATACAATTCGGGCGCGGGGAGTCGAACCCCGATCTGCGCGCTACTTCGACGACTTCATGGGAAAGAGAGCGCGCGGTGTTCCGTACACCACACCCGATTACTTAGCCCTCCTTTGTCTTCTGTAAATCAGTCAGATTTTGTGGTTTTTGACAAAGGACAAAAGAGACCAACAGAGCTTCATTCGGGCGCGGGGAGTCGAACCCCGGTCTGCGGGCTCCCAAGTCTCTCGTGTTCTTTGACGAAGAAGACCCGCAGTGTTCCGTACACCACGCCCGATTCCCTGCTCTGTTCATCCCTCCGTCAAGTACACAGATTTTCTCAAGGACTTGGCCAGGAAACAATTGTCCAATGGGCCAAGTCGGGGGCGGGGAATCGAACCCCGGTCTGCGGGCTAACGGTGCGCTCGCAGTTCTAAGGAAGGCCCGCGGTGTCCCGTATACCACGCCCGATTAATCACCTCCTTATCCCGCTCTCAAGTTGGCGAGATTTTGCGCAGGGACAGCGAGAAAAAAAGATTGGAATTCGGGCGCGGGGAGTCGAACCCCGGTTTGCGAGCTACGTATTCAAGTTGTCCATCATGGAAAGAGAGCGCGCGGTGTTCCGTATATCACGCCCGAGTACTTCTCCTCTTTATCCCTCTGCAAAGTGGAGTAGAACTTGTGCAAGGTCCTGGTTGGGAAAGAAAAAGTGGATGAAAACGGACTATTCGGGCGCGGGGAGTCGAACCCCGGGCTGCGGGCTCCCAAATTGAGGGCGTCGCAGGAAGGCCCGCGATGTTCCGTACACCACACCCGATTACTTACCCTCTTTATCTTTCCCCCCTCTATGATCTCATATCGAGATTCGGATCGTCGAACTCCGAGTCCAAGTCTTGCTCCAAGCAGGACGTTGAAATGTCTCCCGACCCATCTCAACCCCGCGGAATTCACTCAGCTCGAAAAACCGTCGTGACAAGGAGTATCGATTGAGTAGAGAAGAGGGGATGTGTGCGAAGCAAAGAAATAAAACAGGGATGAATCACAACTATTCGGGCGCGGGGAGTCGAACCCCGGTCTGCGCGCTACTTGGCTTCTCGCTATTTAAAGGAGGTGCGCGGTGTTCCGTACACCACGCCCGAGTACCTACCCTTCTTTATCTCCCCGTCGAGTGAGGTTTTGCCCAAGTACCTGCTTGAGAAAATAAAAAAGCTAGATGAAAACCGACTATTCGGGCGCGGGGAGCCGAACCCCGGTTTGCGAGCTGCATCATGATATCCTTCGAAAGCTAGACGGATAAGCGGTGTTCCATGCACCACGCCCGAGTATTTGCGCCGCTCATCCGTCTGCCAAGCGGGGTGGAATTTTGCAAGAGGACAAGCTGGGAAAAATAGTTGGACCAGACCCTGAGCAAGAGAAGACTGGGAAGTAGGGTGGGGAGGTGACCCCCGGTCTGCAGGCTAACGATTCGTACACCTGAGAAAAGCCCGGTCCGTACACCGCATCCGACCCCCTCCCCTCCTTCCTCTGTCAAGTACGCAAATTTTCGCACAGATCTGGCCAGAAAAAAAGATTGAATGGAGCACGGTTATTCGGGCGCGGGGAGTCGAGCCCCAGTCTGCGGGCTGCCAATTCCACGCTGAAGGAAGGCCCGCGGTGTCCCGTACACCACGCCCGAGTCCGAGTACCTGCCCTGTTCCGAACATCCGTCTGCAACGTACGCAGATCTTGTGCAGGCGGCCCCCCTCTTTAGCACCTCACACCTAACACCTCACACAGACCTAACACAAACACCAGAGAATAACCACCACCTAACACCCCGCAGCAAAAATCGAAAAGTAAAAAGCAAGTAGCAGGCACGCAATAAGCAATAGGTAACAAAATGGATAAGAATAGTGTAAGGTCCGTCCACAACCGCTCCCCGTCTTCCCCGTCTCTTCCACCCTCCTGCTCCCCGTCTTCCACCCTCTACGCCCTCCTGCACACTACTCATCGGCGCACTCTGCACGAGCGCGTCCACCCGCCCCTCGCCCTCCACACAGCCGCGCACACGCAGCACCCTCCACTCGCGGAGGCAGTCTTAGATAGTCGTACAGTATCGTTTTCCCTGTCTCAGTCTTAGTTCTTAAATTTAGTTGTTTAGTTGTTTAGCCCGTCGTCGGGTCATACCGGCGGTGTCGCGGCAGGATGAGGGCGCTGATGACGGGGAGGGGAAGGGCAGGGAGGGGGCGAGGGCCGGCGGTAGGTCTGCGGGGGTGTTAGTGGGTTTGCAAAAGACAAGAGATTGGGGCGGGAAGGGAAATGATGGACAGATGAGATGAGGTGAGATGGAGACGGAGGGAAAGTGAGGGGAGGTGGGGAGGTGAGACGTGAGGGTGCGGGGAGAGAGCGGCAGCGATAAGGTGCGGCACGCACGGACGGGGGACGGGGGTAGTGGAGGCGGGTATTGAGCGGAGCGCAATGGGGTGGTAGCGGGTGAGACATGCCTCCACGCTACGGAGGCGCACACCGCGCGGAGGAGACAAGGGAGGGGAAGAACCGCCGGGGAGGCTCACATGGCGGCTCATGATCATCTTTGCCATCGACGCTGGGGCGCACGTGTATAGCGCGTGGGCTGCGGTGCCGCTTGTCCTGCTGCAGGGCAGCATGCTGCTTCGTGCTCACGGGAAGGACAAGCGGGCGCTGCGCGAGACAGGCGCGGGCGGCGATGAGGAGGACACCCGCGGCGAAGCACACGAGGGAGAGGAAACCCGCACATGCGGGCACCTACGCGAGCCGGCAGAGCACGAACAGAACCCGGAAAAGCCAGAACTGCTCCGCCTCTGCGGGCGAGCCAGTGGGCGGGGCCGAGGGCGAGGTGCGAGGCGCGGGAAGGCGGCGACCTCGGGGGCGTGCGTGGGCACCGGGAGGACGAACATCTCGGGGCGGGAGCAGAGACGGCGAGAACCAACTCAGCCTGGTTACCAAGCGAGAACTGAGGTGTCGATGCCGAGTGCCGAGAAGCCGACCTTGGTGCGGATCATCCCACGCCCGCTGTCATCGCCGGCACTCTTCCTTCCCACCATCACGGCCCCGCTTTGTCCTTAAAACAACAGCAGCCGCTGGATGCCGTCCCATTCAGGAACCTACTCCGACCGTACCGACATGACACTTGCAACCTGTCTTTTTGATCGAATGAGGGGAATTCTTCACGGCCGTTTCTCCGCTGCCAGCCTGCAAATATCATTGCGCAGCGCTGCGCTCACCCTTCAAGCAGTAGGTCGATAATTTGTGCGCGTTCGCCGTCCTCACGCCCAGAATAGGAGTCCCTATTCAGTCCCTAGATAATAAAAGAAGTTATTCTCTTCGGTGTCTCGCTGAATCGTCGCTACATCTCACGGTACCTGGAGCCCTTCCCTCGATCCGAACCCGCTGCGCGTCTGCTCCGCTGGATCTCGCGCTGTTCCCCTATTTACTCTCCCCTGCTTAGCGTCTCCGCGTATCCCGGGCAACTCCTTCTCGAATTCCGGCATCTTGTTGGAGTGGCACATTGGATCGGCATCTGTTCTGTCATTCGACGAGCTCTCTACTATGTGATGCTGAACATGTGGACCCGTCTCAAAACTGCACACGAATTAACCCGGTCCCGGTCCAGCCAATCAAGGACCCATGAACATCACTCAAGTTCTCGACCCAATTAAACTCTGGTCTTCCCTGGAACTCTGTAACGGTATATTTTCCCGTCTATGCTAGGTCGGTGCCTCCTCCCACCACGATCTGCATCACTCTTGCCCTGTATAGTCCGGTATCGTTGGGACCCCACCTCCTCGCTCCCAGTACCGATGACGACCATCCACGCACCGGACGCTTGTAAAATTACGAGTACAATGACCACAGGGCTCAAGCCAGGGCGTCGGTGGAGTTTTTCAGGTTGTTCTGCTCCAATGTACGCCATGTACGGCACCTCCCCTGCACAGCTCGCTGCGAACATCGGCACACCGAGATCACCGATTCACATGGACCCAGAGCGACATCCCAAACTGCAGTGTCTCGGCGGGGTCAATTCCTTTATCGATAGGTCAGCCACGCGCAGACAACTCATGCTAGAAGCAATGTAAAATCTCCTCCGACACGGACGTCATCCAAACAAGTTCCAGAGCCCAATCCCCCGGATTAAATAGCCCGCTTTATACCATCAATGCGAGTTCGGTGAAAGGCGCCCCTAGCTCGACGCGGATGCCGACCTCCGCCGGGGACTCAAACGGCATCTGGAGCGTAACGCACAATGTCACCCAGATCGCATTCTTCGTGCGTATTCAGACTCCAGATTCCCGGTAGTCTGCTACGTAATACTCGCTCCATTCGGTGGAGGATGTGCACACATTCACTTGGCGTGTTTAGTGAAAACCAATTTACGTTACTCCGACATTGTGAGTGCTGTGATGCAGATTTATTGTCTGTTTTGGGTCTGAATCGAGGCAACTCCGGGCTTGTAACTGTAATAAAACTCTAGAGCTCAGTTCAGACGATGCCTTGTCCTCCGGGCATCTTGGAAGACTCCCTCAGATTCCTCCACATCCACCGAAGGTCCAACAAGTTTGAATGGTGGACCAACGCATGGAAAAGATTGAACCTGGTTATAGTGAATGACAGAAATCCCACTCTTCATTCCGAGTGACTGTAATGTTGAATAGTGTCCGTTCTTTATCTGGTTGTAGTACTGGACAGAAATTTGTAATGTATTTGAGCTGACGTGAGCTGAGATTTGATTTCTTTTTGGGTGCATGGAGCAGGTTGTTGATTGTTCTGGTTGTAAGGCTGATTCCATTACCGGGGAGTCTTCGACGCTCATTTTGAAGGTCTTGCGAATTCCCGGGAAAGAACCGCGATGCACCCGCGATTGATACAGAGCCCATTTTTAATTTACGAAATGTTGGTTTCGTGAATCAGCGTGAAGAGAGAAAAACAATCTGTACACTGGTGTGTCGTATACCACACCTCACCCGACTCCCTCCCACTCTTGTCTGCTGTAAAGTACGCAGACTTCGGTGTAGGTTACCTGAGAGAAAAGGATACCACTAGCAACACATTCGGGGCTTACACTGTTCACTTTGAGCGTTTATTCCCTGACAATGTGACATATCGAACGGTGGTCCCTATATAGAAAGGTGCCGGAAACACGGATAAATTACTTAAAGTCCCTCTAGCTCCCTCGGATACATTTGCCAGTTTTGTCATTGAGAGATGTTGTAAAGATTACATTTATCTAGGAATTTCATACATTTCTGGCTATATCACATATTCCCTCAGCTATAAATGTTGTCCGTCCTAAAATATTAGGCCGCTGGGACATGTTCTCGGCATGCTAGATGGCTTTCAGTGCGAAAACAGCCCGGAACCACAAATTCCTTTCTATCACTAATTGCGCGTGAATTAGCCGCGTAGATCTATCTAGTTTTTATGTAAATCGGTGAAGAACTGGGTGACTTTCCATAAGCATAGAAAATGATTCTAGAATATTTCTGCTCTTGCCGTCGCCGCTGCCGAGGCATTCAGGACCCCATCAACGGGCAACCCAAAAGCGGACAAGAAATATTCCAGATTTACGAAAATCTGTAGAGGGGTACCCCCCCCTCTACAGATTATTATTATTGGAATAAACTGTTTTGGGTGGCCAACGGCTATTCCTCGCCCACTTGTGACACCATCGAGTCTCTAATTCACGTTAGAAAAATTCAACAGCCTTCTGTTACCCATCGGAGTTCATTCCGGCCCTTGCTCAATCATGAAGACCAATTCATGTTTTTTATTCTTTCTTATGGGAACGCAAGCCGTTATCACACGATCCGAATTTTCTCTACCTTGATGCCATCACTGGCACTCTCAACTAAGCTCAGAAATACCTTGGGATTAGTTTATGCTTATGGAAAGTCAACCACTGACTGAGATATCGGGAATTCTTTGAAAATATCCTAGGCTCGTATCCAGCCGTTATAGTAGCAGCACAATGACGAGCAAGCAGGTATTGTGTACTATAACGGCTGGAAGCACTTAGCCGTGACTTGACAGATGGGAAATTCAAACTCCGATTATGCCATATATGGAAAGCCCCTATTCACACTTCTGTGCATTACGGCCCAACAGTTCACTCTATCTACCTCAGGGGACTATTAAATTACTTATTCATCCTCAATAGCCTCCCTGGAAGTGCAGAATGGCCGCCCCGATTCACGACTGTCTGTTTTCTTGCCTGAAGCATTGCTTTGCCTGTTGGGATGTTTTCCATTTTCACAATATTCTTCAGAAAATTCAAGGAAACTCATTTATGCTACACAATTCTTGTCACCAAGATTTTGCGGTCAAAGAGGTTCAGAGAATTGAAATGGGCACGGTTCTCTGCCGGAGATACTTCCCAATATGGTATAGTCGGAGTTTGAAACTCGCATCTATCAGTTTACGGCTAAGTGCTTCCGGCCGTTATAGTACACAATACCTGCTTGCTCGTCATTGTGCTGCTACTATAACGGCTGGATACGAGCCTAAAAATATCCCAAAACAGTTATTTTTGGTTTGCGCCTTCGGTACTGCAATTAGCTGTAATTTTTCTATTTTGCGGGGGGTGGGTTGCTATAAAGTGAGAATGAGCTGAGTCAAAATGCTTGAAACACAGACGAAAGAGCAGCACCTTGGCTCGAACAAGGACCTCGGGGTGAAGTATAGGTACTTACTAACAAAACCCCGTGTGTGCAATACACCATACTGCTTTACTGTCCTGTTTTGCAGGTGGTTAGGTGCTAGAAAATTGGGAATGAGTTGAGGTAAAAAATTCGGTGGATCACTGGGAGGAGCAGCACCTTGATTCGAAAAAGGACCTCGGGGTGACTATTTGGTGTAATTCCGGGACAAATGAGCCCCGTGTGCGCAATGCACCATACTGTTTTATTTACTGTGTTTTGCGGTGGGTGGGGTGCTATAAAATGAGAATGAGCTGGGGAAAAACGTTGCAGCGCTTCAGGAAGAGGAGTACCTTGATTTGAACAAGGACCTCGGGGTGACTATTTTGAACCATCAAATGAACCCCGTGTGCACAATACACCATACAGCTTTTATTGCTCTGTTTCGTTGTGGGGTGCTATAAAATTGGGAATGTGTTGAGGTAAAGATGGTGGATCACCTTCACGTTCAGAGCAGCACCTTGAGTCGAACAAGGACCTTGGGGTGAATTATGTGCTCTGCAACCCGACAAATGAGCTCCATGTGCACAATACACCATACTGCTTTACTTACTCTATTTCACAGTGGGTGGGGTGCTACACAATTTGGAGTAAGCTGAAGAATCAAAAAGCAGTGAGAGAACATTAAAGCAGCACCTTGAGTCGAACAAGGACCTCGAGGTGAATTATGTATTCAATACACCACACTGCTTTCTTGCGGGTGGTGTGGTGCTAAAAATCAGAATGAGCTAAGGTAAAAACTTTGATGTGTCCCAAGAAGAGCAGCACCTTGACACGAACAAGGACCTCGAGGACAGTACATTTGCTTTCAGTGAAGCTCAATGGATATTCCATGTGCATAATACACCATACTGTTTTATTCACTGTGTTTTGCCGGCCGTTGAGTGCTAGAAACTTCCAAGCGAGCTGGGGAAAAAACATTGCAGCGCTTGAGGAAGAGGTGTACCTTGATTCGAACAAGGACCTCGGGGCGACTCATTGGGCCCATGAACAAGGAAACCCAGTGTGCACAGTACACCATACTGCTTTATTTACTGTATTGTGTGATTGGTAGGGTGCTCTAAAAGTTGGAGTGTGCCGAGAGAAAAATGCTTGGGTATGCTGCAGAGCAGCACCTTGGTTCGAACAAGGTCCTCGAGGTGAGTTATGTGTTCTTCAAACGGCCAAATGTACCCGTGTGCACAATTTGTTAGATACGGTTGCGGCACAGTGCACAGCTTGCGGCGTAGCACCTCCGCAGGCCACGCAGTCCTCGCAGTAACCATTGACCCATTAGGATAGATTGTATTACTATATATAGAGTTTTGGCTAGGTAGTTTCTTTAGTTTTCTGGAATCCAACACCTCACCCACTCAGCTTCTGTGTGAACTACTTGGCTTCTGGACGACTCTTGCGGGGTCTCAATAACCTGAATTATCGGGACCTCACACATTCATCCTCTTTCGATTATACAGATTTGTGCAAGGACTTGCCTAAGAAAAAAGGTTGGATGGTACGCGATTATTCGGGCTCGGGGAGTCGAACCCCGTCTGTGTGCTACCACATTCTTCACGATCTGGCAATGAAAGCCCGCGGTGCGCCGTACACCACATCCGAATCCCTGTCCTCCTTCGCTCTGCCAAGTGCACAGATATGCGCAAGGTCTTGGAGAAAAAAGCTTGGATGGTAACAGACTATTCGGGCGCGGGGAGTCGAACGCCGGTCTGCAGGCTGCCAGCTCTGCTCCTGGCAATGAAGGCCCGCGGCGTTCCCTACAACACACCCGAGTACCTACGCTCTTTCATTTCCTGTGAAGTACGCAGCTTGCGCAAGGACTGAGCCCAGAAAACAGGGTGGAATATAAGGGACTATTCCGATCTGCGGGCTAACATTTCGACAGGTCGCCAGAAAAGCCCGCGGTGTTCCGTAAACCACACCCGACGATTTTAGATGTGTGGTACTCTGCTACTCTGCCAAGTGAGTGATATTTTTCCAAAGGTCTTAGTTCAGAAAAAAAGGTTGAAAGTATCCGAGTATTCGGGCGCGGGGAGTCGAACCCCGGTCTGCGGGCTCTCATTCGTTACATGAATCGCATCGTGGAAAGAAGGCCCGCAGTGTGCCGTACATCACACCCGAGTACCACCCTGTTTATCCTCTGCCAAGTACGCAGTAGCGCAGGGACAGCGAGAGAAAAGAAATCGCTAAACACATCTGGAATTCGGGCGCGAGGAGCCGAACCCCGGTCTGCGGGCACCCAATCCGTCTGGGACGCTTTCGAAGGAAGGCCCGCGCTTTACCATACACCACACCCGAGTAATTACCCTGTTCATCCCTCTGTCAAGTACACAGAGATATGCGCAAGGCCTTGGTTGAGGAAAAGGTCAGATGGTCCACTATCATTCGGGTGCGGGGAGTCGAACCCCGATCGGCGGGTTGCCAATTTCCTGTCGATGATAAGGAAGTCCCGCGGTGTCCCGTACACCACACCCGAGTAATTACCCTGTTCATCCCTCTGTCAAGTACACCGAGATATGCGCAAAGACATGGTTGAGAAAACAAGGTTGGATGGTGCATCACCATTCGGGTGCGGGGAGTCGAACCGGTCTGCGGGTTGCCATTTTCCTGTCGATGATAAGGAAGTCCCGCGGTGTCCCATACACCACACCCGATTAATTACCTTGTTTATTTCTCTGCCAAGTGGGTGAGGATCTTGGGAAGGCGTCGGCTGAGAAAACGAAAAAGAGCGAAGAAAAAAGCGGAGTCGGGCGCGGGGAGTCGAACCCCGGTCTGCGGGCTATCATTCGTCACATGAATCGCATCGTGGAAAGAAGGCCTGCGGTGTCCCGTACACCACACCCGAGTAATTACCCTGTTCGTCCCTCTGTCAAGCACACAGAGATATGCGCAAAGACATGGTTGAGAAAAAAAGGTCATACGGCACACTATCATTTGGGTGCGGGGAGTCGAACCCCGGTCTGCGGGCTGCTGCATTCAGCGATGGAAAGAAGGCCCGCGGTGTCCCGTACACCACACCCGAGTAATTGCTCTGTTCATCCCCTTATATAAAGGGTGACATCGTGCACACGGAGTTAGTTAAGAGAACGAAAAAGCAGTTGTGACCAGGCGTATTCGGGCGCGGGGAGTCGAACCCCGGTCTAATGGCACCCAATCCGTCTGGGACGCTTTCGAAGGAAGGCCCGCGGTGTCCCATACACCACACCCGAGTACCACCCTGTTTATCCTCTGCCAAGTACGCAGTAGCGCAGGGACAGCGAGAGAAAAAAAAAATCGCTAAACACATCTGGAATTCGGGCGCGAGGAGTCGAACCCCGGTCTGCGGGCTATCATTCGTCACATGAATCGTATCGTGGAAAGAAGGCCCGCGGTGTCCCATACACCACACACGAGTAATTACCCTGTTCATCCCTCTGTCAAGTGCACAGAGATATGCGCAAAGACATGGTTGAGAAAAAAGGTTATATGGTACACTCCCATTCGGGCGCGGGGAGTCGAACCCCGGTCTGCGGGCTGCCGATTTTCTTCAAGCGATGAAGGCGCGCGGTGTCCCGTACACCACACTAGAGTAAATACCCTCTTTATCCGTCTGTCAAGTGGGTGAGATTTGCGCAAGGCCTTGGCCCAGAAAAAAAGGGCGGATGGTATATTACCATTCGGGCGCGGGGAGTCGAACCCCGGTCGGCGGGCTAGCATCTCCTCCCATAATAAACAGTCAGAAAGACCCGCGGTGTCCCGTACACCACACCCGAGTATCTGCTCTGTTCATCTCTCCGTCAAGTCGGTGAGGATTTTGGGAAGGAGTTGGCTGAGAAAATGGAGAAGTGGGTTTGCGATGCCGGATGGGAGGATACGATACGGGCGCGCCGACACCCCGACGGCCCGGGGAGCGCGAAGGCAGCAAGTACTTACACCCGCTGGACGCGCCTCGGTGCGGAAAGCGCACATTGGGATTCGAGACTCAGGGGCATCCGTGCGACGCGTTCCCGCGGGCCTGAGACACTCCCCGTTGCATGTCAGCGCGCGGGGAGGCGACACGAGGGGTGGAAGTACCAGCATGAGACGCGGGGGACCACGGGCATGCAGAGGTACGCAAGGACGGAACGAGGGGAGGTGGGATGTGCGTAGATCAGGACAATTGATAACGAAATGCCGCGAGAGGCCGCGAGATGGGCCCAGAAGATAAGCTGGGGAAGCCTCGGCGCAGGACGGGCTCGGGGTCTATAGCTGCGGGGAATCAGAAGCGGAGGAACAGCCACGGAGGGCGACGTGGCCCTTTGGGATTCGGGGGGTGACGACATGGCCCTGGCTTCTAGAAATCTGATTTTCGCCGAATTCGAATTGGTGCCAGGTGCGGCCGCTGTGCGTTGGGGGGTTTGGAGGCGTCGTCGCGACTTGTCGCGAGTGCTCCAGCCCGGCGTTGCAGGGACGACGCGCCGTTAATTAGCGTGTCGGCAGCCGCGCGGATCCGCCTCGTAATCACGTCGACGTGCTGCGGACCGGGCGCCGACGCCCTCCGCGTCCGAAGAGCGAGGTGGTGACCGCGCAGGCCGCGCTACGCCAACGCCGTGCAGGAAGCAACGGAGAACATATGCCCACTTGGAGCCGACACGAGTGTCAATTAATTTTACACGCGCGATCTGCGGCTGACAAGGATTATGTAATGATACGGGACAACCACCGGCCGACAAGGGTATGAGCCAGCCTCGAGTCTACAAGGGTATATGAGCCAGCCCCACACTTGACGCCTCTGTGCCCCTTCCTCGAAACAGTCCTTGACCCGAGTTGTTCATCCTCCCGGCCCCCGCGCACGTCCACGTCCCCGAGCTTGCCGCCTTCTCACACCTGCCTGCCCTCTGGCTCGCGCCCCTCGTGTGCTTCGCAGCGGGCATCCTCCTCGTCACCGCCCGCGCATTCCTCGCCTAGCGCCCCTGCGCACAGGCACCCTGTCGCCCGCGCCGGCCGGCCCCGCTCCCTGCCTCCACAGGCTACTCATCGGCTACACTATTCGCCCCTCCTCTCACACTTCTCACTGT